CAGAGGGAGAAGCAGACTCCCTGCCGAGCAGGGAGCCCGATGCGGGACTCGATCCCGGGGCTCCAGGATCATGACCTGAGCCGAAGGCAGTCGCTTAACCAACTGAGCCACCCAGGCGCCCCGTGTGGGAAGAAATTTAGATATTATTACAAGTGCAAAGTGAAACCACTGGAAGGTTCTACAGTAAGGAAGGACCTCAGCCCACCTAAAGAATGGGAACGAACCAGAAGGGAGACAGTGGTCGAGGTGGGAAGAGAAGGTGTGCTTGGACCAGGGCCAGCTTTTTAAATGCCAGCATCCCCCCCCGCCGCAGAAGAAGCCCCAATTATATTCCCAGTGGAGTTCACCAATATCCAGGTATATTTGATGTCCATCTTATGCGGCAGGCTCAAGGCAGGCCTCCTCTCAAGAATATGAGATCTTCCCTTGTGTTGGATTAGAAATAGAAATCATTACCAGGGACATGTTCAGCTACTGAATTACACAGGAAGCATGTGGCCAGTTGGGTGAAACCCCTAATTTGGGGAAGCCACAGCGTGTTACACAGCACGGTGGAATGGACAGAGCTTGGGGCTGCTGCTGAGACCTCTGGTAGACCTAGTTCCGCCCTAGCTAAGGACAGTCGGTTCAGCTATGAAGCCAGCAGGGCTGGGCATCCAGCGTTTCCAATCCTCATGGGGTTTTTTGGTTTACTTAGAAATCAATCCGTGACCTTGGCTGCAGCCAGAGAATTATTTCGCGGAAATTGCTAAACTTGGCTTCAGACCAGTTGCCAGTTTGGGAGATGTTTGTTCATTCATTGATTTTCTCATCTATTATGAACGTAAGAGGGCAGGGGAAGGAACCTATTGAACTCATAGAAACAGAGAGTGGAAGGGTGGTCAGCCAGGGCTGAAGGTTGGGGGAAAAGGGTCAACTTCCAATTAGAAGATGAACACGTTCTGGGGGATCTAATATTAGCACAGCATTGTGATTATAGAGAACACTTCTCAACTCTATACTTGGAAGTTGCCAAGAGAGTAGATCTTAAATGTTTTCACCACAAGAAGGAAATGGCAATTATAGGACATATGATGGGTGTGTTAGCTAACACTACGGTAGTAATCATATTGTAATATATAAGTATATCATCAATCAACACATAGTACCGCTTAAAGTCACACAGTGCTCTGTGTCAATTACACGTAATGAAGCGATAACAAAGGGTGCCTACTGAAAGCTACAACTTTCCATGCCTCTGGATTCTATTCTAGGAATGCTAAGTACCCATACCATTGTTCTAATCAAGATGCACACACTCTTTCACATTCTCCTTTTATTCCTTTTCACTTTGGGTGATGTCATCATCATAATCGAGGGAAACATTTCGTGTCTCCTATATGCTGGGCACTGTTCTGGGTGCTTTTCATGCCGGAACTCATTAGCTCCTGATGCATCTTCCCTGGATGGATACCGTTATTATTCCCATGTCCAGATGAGAAGACTAAATGCATGTCCGCACATAGGACACACACCCGCATGGTCCATCCCCCCGACCTGTCACTTTACCTCAGTCTTTTGTGTTAAGGTGCCCCAGTCTCTTTAAAGATACGTAAGCTGTTTCATTTCTTTGTTGTGAAAAATTTTGTAATTGTCTCTTTTGGAGCAAGGGGAAAGGAGCAGGTGTGATGTCCTTGGGATGTAGTTCCCAAAGTGGAATCAGTAAGTCCAGAGGGATGAACTTGAGTAGCATGGGCAACATGCTGCTGGTTTTCTCCTCCGCAAGGGCTGAGCAGGTTCGTGATGCCACCAGCAATGCACGTGTGTCGTTCCCCACGTCCCTGCTGAGTTTGGTCTCTCTCGTTCTCCTGTGTCACGGCTAGACGTGGTCCACGGGGCTTTCGGTGCCATAGCAGCCTTGTACAGTACGCAAAATGTATTAATTTTTCCAGAATCCTAGGAAGTAAGCTACCAGACTGATGGTATTAGCCCCTCCTGTAGACAAGTCCATGGAATTATAGAGAAATCAAGGAGCTCTTTGGGCCAAGGGTAAATAAAAAAGGGAAAACCAGATTTCCTGTGACTTTAGGAATATCGGGTTTACGATGGATATAAGAGGACAGAAGAAGCCTCCCATTTTGAAGACATACCATGTGTCTATATAGTAGATTATCATTTCGCACACATAATCCTGTAAGGAAAATGTGAGCCACACCGCTAGCAGGAGTCACGGCTAGTCCCGCCAGTTTCCGAGCCTGTGTTCTTTCTATCATGACAGGATACATGAAATTCACATCAAATTTGCATTAATAAGATTTCATCTTACAATATACTTGACCTAAGGCAGATCTGGGAGGAGAGAGGGGGAAGGGCGACGTGCGTAGAAAGGAGTGAGGTTGTGCAGACTCGTCTGGGCATGCTGGGAGCAGAATGCAAGCGCCTCCCGTGTGGGTGTGGAGAGCACATCCCAGCTCCCGTGCATCTCGTCTGAAGGGGAACTCGTTTCACACTCAGGGTTCCCACCCACTGAATTCAGCTCCGTCCTTAGATTTCAGGGCCCCTGCCTCCAGACCTCAGCCCATTGCCGCCAGCCTCAGCTTTTCCACTTGCTGACACTCCCAGGTGAGGACAGGAGGCTGGCTGAGGCTTCCCCTGCCCATTCTGCTCAGGGAAATAATAATCACAGTTACCTGCATTGGCCAGGTTCTCCGTGTGCAACTGGGATGAGCAGTTCACAGGTGTTAGTTCCATTGGCCTACATAATAGCCCATTGACCCACTTTACAGATAAGGAAACTGAGAAAGAGGTCACGTTACCTACCCAAGGTCACACCACTAGGAAGTGGATCCTGAGAATAATTTCCAAGATTCTCATTTAAATAATTGAGTGGATAATAGTGCCCCTGGCTAAAATTAGGCCTCCAGAGACAGCAAGTGGGTTAGGGAAGAGCAAGAGAAATAATGACTTTGACCTGCTTATAGAGGAGCCCCGGATCAATGTCAAGGTCTTTGTATGTGCATCTGAAGAGACCTGGATGCTGGAGACAAAGACGTGGGAGACGTTTGCAGTGGTTGTAGTAGAAGCGACCTCCCTGGAAAACATGTCCAGTGAGAGAACAAGCTTCCCAGGAAAACACACCAGGATTTAAAGGATTGGCTCAGGAAGAACTGACAAAAGACTGTGTCCAGGATGGAGCAGCAGATAGGTAAAAAGAGAGGAGATAGGAGAGTTTAAAATCAACTGAGAAAGAAGGGAGTGAGGGACAAAGCCCGGCCTCACACCAAGGAGATGATGTCATGTCGGCCCCGCATCTGTTGGGTTGACAACTGACCGATGGCCGTCTTAGAAAGAGCCAGCCAGTGAATGATGGAGTTAGCAACTAGATGTAGTAGATTAGATGGTGAAGAGATTTGACAAATGAGTGTAGATTCCATAAAGAAGTTTGGTGGCGAAAGATACTTTGTAAAACCAGTGATCAGCATTCAGCTCTAACAGATGGTATGTTAGACTCAGGCCTCTTGTTCACGCGGAAGGTCCGCAAGGTGCCCTGTTGCTCTCACCGTGTGAAGGAGAAAAGGGGAGGGGCGCCTGGGTGGTTCAGTCGTTAAGCGTCTACCTTCGGCTCAGGTCATGATCCCAGGGTCCTGGGATCGAGCCCCACATCAGGCTCCCTGCTCTGCGGGAAGCCTGCTTCTCCCTCTCCCACTCCC